TTCCTGCTTTTCCAGCTTGTTCTTAAAGGCCTCTGGCAATTCATTTCTCAACAGAAATTTCTACAACTTCAGCCCCCCCAAATGTATAAGGCATCCTACCTAAAAGATTTGTACCATACTGATACTGCTGAACATTCCATCCAATTCAAGAAAGCACAAAAATTTTATCAAAATAGTAACAGAAACATCATAATCTTATTGCTTGTACATGAATATGAAATGAAAATTGCATGTACAAAAAAAGGAAGGTAATATGCAAGCGTCAGGAATAGGGTGATTCATAATCCAGGAGTCACCAAATTCATGTGGAAGATATTTGCCTTTTTTCTTCAACTTAGTATGCAATTCTTTAATCCTTTTTGGAGGAATACAGCTCTTGGTGCTTTCCAAAAAAAGCACTACTTTGGTCTAGCAGCAAACATGTTTGGCTGTTAAGATGACTTCTATGATTCCGAAGATGCCAACACATACTGCAAGGGAAACATGATGCTTTCTATCTATGAAACACTTAATTGACAAACCCATACCACGTTTTACTGATGTACCCAGAGTTCTCTCCTACGTTCTTCAGACCTCATGTCCAGATTTCTGTGCCAAGCATCTTCAAGGATCTTTTAATGCTTACATGATTTACCATGTTTTGTTTACGACATTCACAGTGTAGTTCTTAGTCTCACTGAAATGCCCAAATCACCTCAAAAAATCCTGTTATAGTCACTTAAATAATTTTACTTCCACCTGTTTCTGCCTCCACCCATCCACTTAAGGATCTCTTCTGAACAAGGTCTGGTATTTTCTATTTAGCAACGGAACAGTTCTTTCCCTTAGCTTGGTGGTGGAGGTAAAAATCCATGTGCAGGGCTTCCATTAACATGAAAAGAAGTTCACATGACAACTATCTCAAGCATTACTAGAACAAAAGAGCTTTAAAGGCCAGGTACAGACAAAGAGAGAGTCAAGGATTTAAAGACCTACCAAACATGGTTAATTAATTTCAGAGACCATGGTTCACGTACATTTCTAAAGCAATCAATTAAAAGGAAAAAACGCCCAACATATTCAGGTTTCAATGTAATAAAATTAGAGTGAACTTCCAGAATGCTGAAATAGTCAGGGTATGAATCTCTGGTGAACCAGAGTTGTCTATATATTCAGCACTGAGTCACAACTGCAGGTCTTGCTGTTCTCTGCTGCATATCACTGAAGAATACAAAGAGGTAAGATGCAGCCCTCAATTTAATTGTTACCATTTTACAAAGCCCTTATCCCTGCTTTCATGAACTTCACCATGTCGGAAAACCCACACAAAATTTCAAAGTAAAGATGTTTACGATTTAAACAAAAGATATTTTGCAGTCAATTTAGGAATTTAGTTTCATGGAGAAGCAGTGGTTTGGCCTACCTAGATTCCCTATTCTTTTCTCTTATCACCCAACATTAATTTCTCTTCTTTACCCACCCTCTCTAAAAAGATCTTAAAAAAATTTCCATTGTGAACAGCATTCACTCATTCAGCCCTACATTTTTATTGAAATTCATTTGTGAGCCAGTTCTGACTTCTGAGCCTATTACTTATTTCAAATATTCATTCTGTATTTTATGAGAACATCCTATAATCTACTGCTTGTTCTCTATTTTTCTTTCACAGGGTGTGGCAGTTCTGCAAAATAATATGGTGATCTTTATGCCTTTTGACTGGACAAGTCTTGCAAAAAACCCGCTAATAGTAATAATGAAAACTTCTGAAGGAAAATTATAGATGTGAGAAGCACATAATAAAGCTGGTGGAACATTTAAGTGTTTTCATACATATCCAGTAACTGCCTAAATGCTCTCTAGCATTGTACATTACGTCTGTACAAGTAATGGAATAGAAACATTACTACTTTTACTCAAAAATATTTTCAAATTATCATTAGATAGTTCAATGAGTACTTCTCAGTCATCTCATGACAAAATAGTTCTTGTCTTTTTGGTTTACAATTGTCTTACTTTCACACCTGCTTCTGCATCTGCACTCAAGTTGGGAATAGTTGTGAAGTGCACCAACTGTACCGCTGTCAGGTCTTCCAGAAACGCTTTGCTTCTAGTTAAGTACTAGATCATTTGCCATCATTTAAAAGTAGCCCTGTGAACAAAAACAGAAGAATACCTCTCTCCCTCAAGTTCTTCAGTGGAACTTTCTCTTTTAATTTGTACATCCCATTGTAACAAATTATCCAGATCACACTTTCACTATTGCCTTCCAATTTATCTCCTTGACTTTTCTGATGCAGATAAAATAGGAGTTGGATCTTTACAGTACCTGTTTTGAAGACAAGCCTACCAAACAGTGACAATTCCCTTTTTTCAAAAGGATTGTTACAGAAAAAAGGGCACCTGAGATGCAAAGAACTTTAAGACATTTCAAATATAAAATTTCCTTCTGCTTGTGGATAATCTTTGGTGCTGAGAGACTGAGACGCAGCATTTCTTTTCTTACAGATTTCT